TCTGGATTCAATTCTATTCTCTGCTAATACACAACTTACATATATTTCAAAGAGAAGACTTGGATTGAATGAAAACAGGAGGCTGGAGCTTCTTACATGCCCCTGGCTTTGTGTTTGTACAGAATATTTATGCAATATTCTGACTTGGTCATAATCTATAATTCCTGGTTATTATTCCAGTTGCAGCTATAATTTTTAGATTAATGGTTATAATTTTGGTAAGGCATATGTGAAAAGTTATATGCTTGTGCTTGAAAGGATCATTAAATATTCATTATTACCACTCAAATTAGTTGTCATGCTCTATATAACAGTTACCCGTTATCATTTCACTAGTTTACATTCAGCAATAAGTGAACAGCAATATATAGCTCATAGCACTAGAGGAATTTTTTGTTGGGGAACAGGGAAAGAAATGATTTTAAAACCCATTTGACATATTTATGTTGACAAATTATTTAAAGAAATTACCGTGTTGTCAATAAACATGTATGTATGTTGGATCAGGATTGTGGCTAGATTTGCTTCTAGCTGTTTAATTACTCTCTGATTGTGAAAAACATGCTTCTTCAAATAGTTATGAGGAAAAAATTAAAAATATAAAGGTTGAGATGTCTTTTGAGAACATCTAGCCTTGCCATGAAAAAGTACTTTTCATTTTTGTAAACAGGCATTGAAATCTTGCTTTTTCAGGGAAGCTAGATTGTATAATTTGTTAGTTTTCCCCATCTGGTAAGAAATCTATCCTTAAGAAAAAAAAGCCAGAAGTAAAACACGAGATGGATTTTTATAAATGTTGTGAATGAACATGTATAAAGATCATATCTTGTCAACCCATTTTGGAAAGATATGGAGTGAAAATAAATAAATACAAATATATCTTACTGTAAAAACATTTTGTTTTTTTCTTCCATACACCTTGGTGTGCCAGTTCAGTTATGTGAAGACATTAGGACAGACACATATTTTTTTATCACATATATGAATCATTCCATACTCTTCAGTAATTTTAAATTGGTTCTTTTCCCATAGAAAATAATGATAAATTTGATTCTGATCTCATCTAACTTTAGAGCTTTCTATCTTAAAAAGTCAAATTGTAGCTGATGAACAGATTTTGCATTTTTCCACATTGCATCTGGACTCTTCATAACGATGGTTTATTTTATCTTTTCTGCACAGAGGAGAGAAAAAATATATAGGTCCATGAATCAATCTAGATAATGGGGAAGGCTGAATGTAATAAATAATACAGTAACAACCCTAAACTAATGAGCTGTTGCTAAGGTACATTTCATAGGCTCATCCTCTATATAAAAAGTCACTAATAACCCCTTGGTGTAATCAGATGATAAAGCTTTGCCATAAGGCAACACCTGTGCAATTAGAACTGCAGATTCTTTTGCACGTTTCATTAATTTCAGGATTTTGTAAAGGCACAATGACTACACTAATAATCTAGTCTACTTGACTCCATGTCTACCGGAAACAAAGTGTCTAATTAGATAAAGGTAATTAATTAGAGATAAATGGAGCTAATCAGGCTCAGTTAACACTAATTCTCTGAATTAAGACATTTTGGGACACCTACCATCCCACTGACTTTGATATTTTGCATTAAGAATAGGTTCTATAGGAGTCAGAAAATACCAGCATTTGAGAATTGAGCAGTCTTTTGATGGCATATTTAGGCATCTAAAGCTAAAGGAGAGTTTTCTTTCATATTGTGCTATTTCACCACTTTTCTATTGCAGCTTAAAGAATTCACTTTGTAGTTATTCCAATCTGTGCTAGTCTCCATATAAATTTTAATAACCTTTGCTATCATTTTTATTATCTGTCTAGACCACCAGTGGAAGAAAATCACAAGTTGTTCTCTCTCTTAGATAAAGACTTAACTCGTTACATTAAGGAAATGTCAAGACTCATCAGCCTATATCCTAAAATTCTGATCCTTTAAAGAGAACAAACACCTAAAATTCTGATCCTTTAATTCCGATTCTTTAAAGAGAACAAACCTCTGCTTTGCAGTGTTGGACTGAAAATTCAATGATGTTGGGGAAGGAGCAGGAGCTTTGAAGTCAAAAGACCTGAATTCAAATTCTTGTTCTATTTCTTACTAACTGAGTGGTCTTAGAAAGTAGCTTCACCTCTCCAAGTTACCTTGCTCATACACTGGAAATAATACTGACTCATGTAATACTGATCTTAACTTTACAGGGTCGCTGTGAATGTTGAGGGAGGTAAACTATATTATGAGAGAGGTAAACTCAACTATGCTGAGGATGGTTACCTCCCACAACATTCACAGCAACCCCGTAAAGTTAATACCCGTTAGGCTGGGATTAAGCACATAACCTAACACCATATCTTGACTGACTACCAATTGAGTTTCAAAAATGGTACATTTTCATCTCAACCCCATGATAATCTGTGAGCTACATTTAAATGTACAGAAAAGGAGAGATTGAGAATTTTCTCCTAGTCAATCAGAAAAAGAGTCCCCAAAATTCTTTGCTTGGAGAATGTGAATTTTTCTGCCTTGGGGTTCTACATTGAAATCATTACCCCTCTTGGCAAGTTGTTCCCAGTCTACAAGGAATGGACAAATTACCCCAGAACTGAACTGTGGGATATAGCTTAATCTGGAGAGGATATTTAAATCTTTCTTCTACAATGTCTCTGGCATATGCCTCTTCCTCTTTCTGGTCTTTGTTCTAACTTATCTGGACTGCTATTAGATTGCTCTAATAGTGTCCTAACTAGTATCCCTTCTTTCGTTTCTTTTTCCTGTAATTCAGTGTCACCAAATCAATCTTCTTCATAGAACACTTTGCTTATTCTCTCATCAAGATCATAAGAAGATTGATTCCTTGTTAAACTAAGATTCTGTGGTGCAAGCAGGCAAAGCAGCCATATCTGGTTCCATATTATTTATCCAGACTCATCTCCTATTGCCCTCCCTGCCAATGGAGCCTTTTACTCCAGCCTAGTCAGCCTTACTACTCTTCACCACACTCATCTCTCCTTTTATGCTCTCGTCCAAGCCTAGAAACTTCTCTCTTCTTTCAAGATCTATTTCAAATCCTGCCTTTCCCCTGATACCTTCGTTGACAACTCTGACCTACCAAGAGCATTCACATTTGTGAAGGCCCACAGCAGCTCTCAGTGGCACCATACCTATTAGCCTTGGCTCTAGCAGTGGGTCAGTGATCCTGCTTCCCTGTCTTTCCAACACTGATGCGATGTCTGAGGTCAGGAACCATATTCTATCCTCCTTGTGTGCTTTGCCTTGCTCACCATCCTCTTCCCACAAACCCCAACTTTCACGGAGTGTGGCCCTTCAGGGGAAACAACAAAACAACACAAGTGTAACTTATTTGTGAGCTGTGGCCTGGCCTGGTCCTTGGGCAGTAGTGTCTACATTACTTTTGTAGTAACTCTGGGACTTTTTGCCGACTTTGGGCCAGGTTGAACCCTGGGTTGAGCCTTCATGTTGGGAGACAAGATTACCTTGATGAAAAGCCTGCTGTATGTCCCTGAGGCTTTGTATCTGGCTTGTGTGGTATTAGCCTTTTATAACATGCAATGAGGGGATGCATGTTATAAGGAAGTGATCCTTAGTATTTCACGACAATCAGAGTGTTTAGCAAGCAATGATACTGCTTTTCCAGCAAACATTTCAGAAAGGGCTGGCAAACATGGGCTGATTAGCACTCATCAGAGACTGTGATAGTTAATGTCACATCAACTTGACTGGGGCATGGGATGCCTAGATTAAACATTATTTCTAGGTGTGCCTGTGAGGGTGTTTCTGGATGAGATTAGCATTTGTATCAGTGGATCGAGTAAA